ACAAGACCCAACTCTGACAGATGACCACCCATCTCTCTTGGAAGATCTCTAGCGAAGAGATCTTCTCATTATTCAATTTGGCAGTCTCTGCCATGGGTGGCACTTCATATCGTAGGTGTCCTCCTTGAAACTTCTTGGAATCTCCATCCTCATTGGTTCTGTTCTGCATTCTGGGAAAATGGAGAAGGAGCCCACTCCTTCTTCTGCATCATAACCCTTCAAAACAGGCTACAAACCAGGAGACTGGGAGTTCTAGCCCCACCTAAGGCCCAACCAACAGCTGGTTGACCCTGGGCCAGTCATTCTCTCACATCTTTAAGAATGAGGCAAAAGCAAAACATATATGAAATCTTCAAGAAAACTGCATGGACTTGTCCAAGCAGTCATCGGGAGTCAAAAACATTCAAAAACACTCCTTCCCCCCCAAATCATACCAGACATCGGTGTGAGGTTACTTAGTTCAAATCCAAAGCTATGGTTAGTAAACTTATAGAGCCAGTATGGTGTAGTGGTTAAAGCATCAGGCTCGAAGCCAGGAGACTGAGAGTTCTAGTCTCGCCTTTGGCCCAAAGCTAGCTTGACCCAGTCACTTTATCTCAGCCCTGGGAAGGAGGCAATGGCAAACCACTTCTGAAAAAAATCTTGCCAAGAAAACTGCAAGTAGCCTCTGACAATCAGATCTGATTGAAGGGGAGGGGAAAAAAATAAGTACACCTATACAAACTGGGCATAAGGTGCATTGGCTGAGAGTCAGCCACAATGCAATCTGCTTTAGTGCTGGAAGCGAAGTGTTGAAGGAGACACTTGCAAAGTGTTAAGGACCACTGATCTCCCCTGAGGGGCTTCTACGAAGGGAGAGAAGGACCTCTGCGCCAGAGTAAGGAACGGAGGATAAGTGGTGTAGCTGCTTCAGGCTGGTAAAAGTGACACGCTGCTTTGACTTCCCGATTGAAACAGACCTGCTACTATGCTTCATCCTCTTTGGCCAGCATGTCAACTGTCAAATGTTTTGAGCCTTCTATTAATAGGCAATTAAAATGCATCCCTTTTTGCTCAGGAAAAAAAAATCCCTTTTTAATTCACGTTATTTTATTTCCTGGCATTTACAGGATGCTCTCCGGTCCTGTTTTCTGAAGCTGGGTCGAAAAGTGAGAAAGAGAAGGCTGTGCGTGCAAAAGAGAGCAAACAGAAGATGGCCACAGTGCCCCATGACCAGGGGTGGGATTCTACCTGTTCGGATGAATCGGTAGCTCCGACGATCAGCTGGGAGCGAACCGGTTTGTTCCCACGATCAGATGGGCCCCCCCGCCCTATTTTCCTACCTTTATCTTTTCAGTGATTTGTGCGGCAGAGCAGATTGCCGTGCCTCCGCTGTGTTTTTCCTCTGAAGAAACGTGGAAGTGAAGATTTCTTCAAACTGCGCACTTGCGTGCAAAATCACCGAACCAGTTGTTAAATCGGGAGGATCCCATCACTGCCCGTGACACATGGATTTTGGCCCTTTGAGCAATTGCTTGCACAGATTTAATGGATTACAGATTGGGACATATTATGGGTGGCAATTATACCAATCCAAGACAAAGGTTTGAAACAATGGACAATGTACGCTAAAACGTTTGTAGTCAAGGATGAGACAAGAATTGTGAAAGAAAAACAGCCCATAGGTCCCGAGATGCCCCTTATTAATTTTAGGGAACAGTTCCTAGGCTGTGTATTATTTATCACGTCCCATTTTTTGTTAAGATACTGCCTTTCAAACTTAATTTATTGGAAACTAAAGATGTTTTCTAAAAATAACTTTGAAGCTGCTAAAAAATGCAGCTTTCCACTTGTAAGTTTCCACCAGCTGGGCCTGTCTGGTTTAGAACTGACACCCTTGAGAATTCAAAATAAGATTTAAAATTGCAAGGGGCGGGGGAAGCAGAAGGAGGAATGGCTTATGGAAAAAACGATAGATTCTATTATCATCCCATTACCTAAATATTACCCAGAATCCACTTTATGAACAACTTAGGTGATTTTTCAGTGCTGGGTTGAACAGGGTGATGGAAAGAGGGCTATTGACAGGCCCAAAGAACCAAGAATGACACAAGGAGTAACTTCTAAGGACCGTTGTTTCTTTCAGAACAGTATCTGTTTTTGGAGATATTCCACCTTATTTAGGAGAGGAAGGAACACCTGCCATAAGGTATCTTCCGGTGTGACTTACATCTTTAAACCAATATGTTTTGTCCTTGCCGTTGTTTTAGGGTGTGCAAATCTGTGCAAATGATTACTACATTGATATAATTAGTTGGCTAAAATGCTTTTCACAGCATAATCACACTGGTACATGACTACATGAATCCTCACACAGAGCTGTGAAAAGAAAAACAGATTGTGAACGCAACACTCTCTCCGTCATGTAAAGTAATATTGTGCTATTTTTAAGTGCGGGGCAAAACGCTTTAACTAAATAAACACGGATTTTTTTTCCCCAAATCAATTTTTCCTTGTTCATCATCTTCCAAAACATTTTTAGATGTTCCTTACGAATGCGATAGACGTGAAAAAAACTACTTCTAATCTAATCCGAGCAGTTCTCTATGGCATCAACTTTGGTATTGAACAAAAAGAAGAAGATGAAAGTAGAAAATGAAGGGAAAACAGATTCCTGTTCCTTGGCAAAACCCCTTCTGCTTTTCTTCTTCATCGTACAAATAGTCCTCGACTTAACGACTCCAATTGAGCTCCAAATTTCCATCGCTAAGCGAGACAGTGGTTAAAAGTGAATTTTACAACCTTTTTTGCCACAGCTGTTAAGTGAATCACTGCGGTTGTTAAAAGTTAGTCACACAGTTGTTAACTAAATCTGGCTTCCCCAATGACTGCGTGTCAGAAGGTCGCAAAAGTACCTTGCTCAATAGTAGTAACTGTGAGAGGGATCTTGGAGTCCTAGTGGACAACCATTTAGATATGAGCCAGCAGTGTGCAGCAGCTGCCAAAAAAGCCAACAAAGTTCCAGGCTGCATAAACAGAGGGATAGAATCCAGATCATGTGAAGTGTTAATACCACTTTATAAAGCCTTGGTAAGGCCACACTTGGAATACTGCATCCAGTTTTGGTCACCACAATGTAAAGAAGATGTGGAGATTCTAGAAAGAGTGCATAGAAGAGCAACAAAGAAAATTAGGGGACTGGAGGTTAAAACATATAAAGAACGGTTGCAGGAACTGGGTATGTCTAGTTTAATGAAAAGAAGGACTGGGGGAGACATAATAGCAGTGCTCCGACATCTCAGGGGCTGCCACAAAGAAGAGGGAGTCAAGCTATTCTCCAAAGCACCTGAGAGTAGGACAAGAAGCAATGGGTGGAAACTAATCAAGGAGAGAAGCAACTTAGAACTAAGGAGAAATTTCCTGACAGTTAGAACAATTCATCAGTGGAACAAATTGCCTTCAGAAGTTGTGAATGCTCCAACACTGGAAGTTTTTAAGAAGATGTTGAATAACCATTTGTCTGAAGTGGTGTAGGGTTTCCTGCCTAAGCAGGGGGTTGGACTAGAAGACCTCCAAGGTCCCTTCCAACTCTGTTGTTCTATTCTATTCTGTTCTGTTCTGTTCTGTTCTGTTCTGTTCTATAGTGGATCACATGACCCCGGGACACTGCAGCCTTCACAAATACGAGTCAGTGGCCAAGAGTCTGAATTTTGATGACGTGACCATGGGGATGCTATAACAGTCATAAGTCTCTTTTTTTCAGTCTCGTCGTAACTTCAAACAAACAATCATTAAACAAAGGGTTGTTGGTCAAGATTACCTGTATGCTTAATTCTCCAACAATTGAGCCTCTACAGGGTGTGATCCATAAAAGTCAGATTGATGGGCATCGTGGCTATAGACTTCCGGGACTATAGGTATTCCTTGACTTACGACTGAAGTTCCAAAATGCCGCTTTACAAAACCCTAGTAAGACCACACCTGGAATACTGCAACCAATTTTGGTCACCTTACTACTTAAAAGATGTTGAGACTTTGAAAAAAGTGCAAAGAAGGGCAACTAAGACTATCAAAGGCCCGGAGACTAAACCATATGAAGAATGGCTGCAGGATTTGGATTTGGCTAAAGTGTAAAGAAAAGAAGAATTAGGGATGACAAGATAGCAGTATTCCAGCATTTGAAGGGCTACCACAAAGAAGAAGGGAGTAAATTATTCTCCAAAGCACCAGAGAGCAGGACAAGAAACAGTGGCAGTAAGACATACTGAAAGTCCTGTGAAGTTCAGTGGTCTCAGCTAATAATGAGAGTAAATCATAGCCATACACCAATTTCCACCAGTCTTACATGGAGTTTAAACCTTCTTCCTACATAAATATTCACCATTGAAATAAATCAGGCCCATTAGCAGGAGGCCTGCCAAATGAAACAGCAGAAGTCTTGACGGTTATCAAGCCAGTTAACAGAATAAACCTATTAAATAAATAAACTCGTTCTCTCTCTCTCACCCCCCCCCCCAATTTATGGCGGTGCTATACTTAAAATGAAACCTTTTAAATGAACAGATTTACTGTGCCCGGAGATCTCCACGGGGTCTGGATAATTATGCAAAAGCAAGGCGTTACTTTTAAAGAGGGAGGAATAGGGTTGGTACTTGTCATGATTTACGGTCAGACACCAGAAAAAAATGGTAATGGCACAAAATAAGCTTTTGCAAACCTCTTCTGGCAGACGGAAAATGCTTGATTTACCTAGGGCATCCATCAGGTTCTATATTTTAGATTAAAGCAGATAGATAGCAAGGAAAGTGCGCGTGATTATCCTGCACGAACAGTTGAGGGGTGGTACGGCTTTTGCTGTTCTTATTGGTATGAAGGGGGAATGTGTCTATGGAAGGAAATCAACCACGATTTTCTAGGCTCCTGGCGTTGGAGAACATGAGCTGTGGTCCATCCTGTACAGTTAAACTTCAGGCCAGTTAGCGGAAGAAGCTGTTAGATGCAAACAACCATATTCATACATGTAAGGTATGCTAACAACTTTATTACATTCTGCCTATTATACAGGAATCTTCCCAGACTGTCTGCTTTCTCCTGGGAATAGACAGATAAATGTTCTAGAGGGAGCTTCAAGCGGGGATCAGTCCTGGGTCTTTTGCAGCTGCACAAGGATGCCAGGCTAATTTCCTGCTTGAGACTTCCTCCCTCCCTGGTTGGGTGAATAATCTTATTCGATAAATAAATTTGTTCTCACCGATTTGTGGCATTTCCATCGGCACCAACAATGAGTTTTCAGCCTCCTCGTTTCCAGCAGCCCAAGTGGGACATCCCAGGCAGTGACAGAGTTCACTCATGGGGATGTGACATGCCTCTATCTCGCCAGCTGCTGCACCATGTGGTTTTTCTGGGAAGATTTCTGAGAATTTTGAGTATATCTATATGGTACCCAAGGGAGCTTCCAATCATGACTTTGTGTAATTGCCCTGCCTAACATGGAATTTTACTGGGGGGGGGGCAGGAAAAAAAAAAACCCTTAGGATGAGAGGGGGGAGGGAGAGGGAGAGGGAGGGAGGGAGGGAGGGAGGGAGAGAGAGAGAGAGAGAGAGAGAATGAATGAGAATAACTAGTTAACTAGAATAGTTTATCTGTTCTGGAAGTAAAGATTGTACAGAGGTTTCCCCACAATCCAGACACTTTATTTCCAGCAATTATTGTGCCACATTTTTCAAGGCTAGAAAGAAAAATCCATGCAATTTGGAAGCATGAGAATTTCTGGACTGTACCTAACAGATTTATGTAGCTAAACATGCTAACGTCCTTTGACCTGCTTAGAAATAAATACAGCTGACCAAATTGTCATTTTTATGGATATTTACAGCCAAGTACTTTGTAAACTTAAGAACTAATTTCCCCCAAAGGAAATCTGTACTCTATAACCTTGATAAACTGTCAAAAACTCAAACCATGACTAGACCTGCCGTTTCTCTTGCCAACGATGTGCACTTTCCAGAAGCTTATGAAGATTCAGTGGGATGAATGGGTGGGATTAACATCAGTGGTGAAATGTAAAATTTGTTACTACCGGTTCTGTGGGTGTGGCTTGGTGGGGGTAATGTAACTGGGTGGGCGTGGCCAACTTTTTTTTTTTCCCTTTTAAAAACATTTTTTCTACAACCTCTTCGGCCAAGAGGTTGTAGAAAAAATGCTTTTAAAAGGCTCTGACGATGCCAGCTGAGTTGCCTGATCGTCAGAGGCTTTTTTTCCCCCGACTTTTAAAAGCATTTTGAATTCAGGAAAAAAAAAATCCTCTGTCTTAAGTATAAAAAGACCTGAAAAATTGGGTATGCAGGAACTGGATATGTCTAGTCTGATGAAAAGAAGGACTAGGGGGGACATGATAGCAGTGTTCCAATATCTCAGGGGCTGCCACAAAGAAGAGGGAGTCAAGCTATTCTCCAAAGCACCTGAGAGTGGGACAAGAAGCAATGGGTGGAAACTAATCAAGGAGAGAAGCAACTTAGAACTAAGGAGAAATTTCCTGACAGTGAGAACAATTAATCAGTGGAACAACTTGCCTCCAGAAGTTGTGGATGCTCCAACACTGGACATTTTTAAGAAGATGTTGGATAACCATTTGTCTGAAGTGGTGTAGGCTTTCCTGCCTAGGCAGGGGGTTGGACTAGAAGACCTCCAAGGTCCCTTCCAACTCTGTTATTCTTTTCTATTCTATTCTATTCTATTCTATTCTATTCTATTCTATTCTATTCTATTCTATTCTTTGCAAGATAAAATATTTGGTGCAGTTGCGCTTCAATTGTAAACTCAGAGCAGAAGCAAACAAATTTACACTCTTACTTTCCCAATACAATCCATAAACCTCTTCACCCGATCAAGATCAATGCCATTTGCCCAATGGCCTTCTTTCTTGAAATAGGAACCAATGATCAAGGCATTTGCACTTAAGTAGTCCTTCACATTATCCAAAGTCACACCAGATCCCACCAGTATTGGAATCTTCACCGCAGATCTGACTTCTAGAGAAAGTAAACAAGAAAATTCATAACGGGACTTAATAATAAAATTTGTAAGGGAGACTAACTGAGGTTATAATGACTCTACATCAGTTGTCCAACCTGGGCAACTTTTAAGATCTGTGGACTTCAACTCCCAGAATTCCACAGCTGGCTGGGGAATTCTGGGAACTGAAGTCCACAAGTCTTAAAGTTGCCCAGGTTGGACACCCTTGCTCTACTTGTTCCAGCAGCTGCCTTTCTTACCATCCTCTCCTTACACCAAGGAATGACTCTAGTATTTCCCTGATCCTAAGATGATCCTCTTATACAGATAGTCCTTGACTTACAACCATTTGTGTAGTGACCATTCAAAGTTACAACAGCACTGAAAAAAAGGGACTTCTTGTCCCAAAATTTCCTAATCTTAGGACAAGTCCACCACATGTGGTGGAATGTCCCTTGTTTGTGTCCATACCTCCAACAATTCGGATACATCCTGGCCAATCTCGTTGGTGGCAAATGCCATCGGTAGAACATTTTGTAAAGATTTTCTTTATAAGCAGCTGACATCGCTGGCCATTGCAGCATCCCCATGGTCATGTGATCAAAAATTTGGATGCTTGGAAACCGGCATGTATTTGAGACTTTGCAAGCCGGCTTCCGACAAGCGAAGTCATGGGGAAAGCTGGACTCACTTAATGACTGCCAGATTCACTCACTGGCAGCGTTGCAGTTAACAACCATGGCAAAAGGGTCGTAAAATTGGACATGACTCACTTAACAACCCACCTTGCTTAGTAACAGAACGTCCCAAGTGTGGTGGTTAAGTCAAGGATTACCTGCAGATCCTTTGCATTCTTCTTGATAACAACAAATATTCAGGAGCAGTCAATCACGGTCAATTTTTTTGTTTTGTTTGTCTTTTAATGACCTTGTAATCAGTGGTGGGATTCGGCTGGTTCTATCCGGATTTGGCGAACCGATAGTGGCCACTGCGGGAGGCTCCGCCCACCTGCCCAGACATAATGTGTGAGCAAAGAGCATGCATGGAAGGCCATGTGCATGCGCAGAGGAGGTGCGTGTGAGTGAAGCAAACGCACGCTCACATTTGCGAACCAGTAGGGAAGGTAAGTGAATCCCACCTCTGCCCGTAATCCCTTGTATCAGGGTGGAGTCGGGGCAACTAAATGGAGCTGAGCATTTACTGGCCGGATGCCCTTCCTGTCGCCAATGCGGAGTTCATAGCAAATAGTTTCTCATTGTGCCCATACACACACACAAAATGCTGTCTCTTAAACTGCAAATGAAAAGACTGCACTTTTAAGTTATTTCATTAACGTTTTACTCTCTCCAGCAAAACCACCAACAAGAACCCAGGTGCTTTGACTCTCCTGCCCTATGACTAGCGCCAAAAGCAGCATTAGCCATGCTGGAAACGAGATAATATCATCTCACCCCTTTTCAGCGCAGCTCTCAAAGAGACAAGCACGGAGATCAAAAAAAAAAGCCCATCGGCGTAAGCTGCTCAATGGGCTTATTCGGTTAGATGATGAAAGGAACCCAAACGGTCTACACTTAAGCAGCTGCAGGGATTCCCAAGGCAGAGTCAGGATCAATTTGCTCGCGTAGAACGATTACATGGCCATTTCTTCTTCTTCTTCTTTTTTTTTTCCTGAAGAAAACCCGGCCCACTAAGCTCTCTCTGATCTATTTTCATTGTACAGAATTGCAGCATTTAGGGTTCCATTTATCTTGGTTACTTGCGTTGTCGCTGAAGAAAGACTGAATGTCCTCAGGCAGATTTAATTTTGTGTGGGTGTGTGTATGTGCATCTCTGTCTCTCTTTCTCTTTTCATCTAATTATCTATCTATCTATCTATCTATCTATCTACCTGTCTGTCTGTCTGTCTGTCTGTCTGTCTGTCTGTCTGTCTAATCTATCTAATCTATCTATTTGTCTGTCTGTCATCTATCTATCTATCTATCTATCTATCTATCTATCTATCTATCTATCTATCTAATCTATCTATTTGTCTGTCTGTCATCTATCTATCTATCTATCTATCTATCTATCTATCTATCTATCTATCTATCATCTATCTATCTATCTTCTATCTATATATCCATTTTCTCTCATCCATATATATACTTACATCTCTATCTCTTTCTCTGCATCTCTCTCTCTAATCTATATATCTAACCATCCATTCTCTCTCTCTCTCTCTCTCTCTCTATATATATATATATATATATATAGAGAGAGAGAGAGATGATAGATAGATAGAAATGTGTATATATATATGTATATGTATATGTATATGAAATAAAATTATTTCTTTATCAGCAAATATAAATTTGGTATAAAATGGTTTGTTGTGAATGTGACTGCTTGAGGGCTCCTGGATTGGAGCTGAAAGGTGAAAGGGAAGCAGTATGCTTTCTTCCACATGTTGGGGTAGACCAGGTGCTTCGACAGGAAAACACACACACACACACACACACACACACACATAAATTATATACACGCGCGGACACAAATACAACCCCCCATATCTATCTCCATCTCTCTCTTTCTTTGTATCCCCATATCTATCTTCTCCATGCATCTCTCCTAGCCACCTACCTATATCCATCCATCTCTTTCCATCCATCCATCCATCCATCCATCCATCCATCCATCCATGTCTACCTTCCTCCATTTATCTACCTCTATCTCTGTCTGTCTCTATTTCTATCTCTATCCCTGCCCTCAAACAAGCATTTCCCTCGTATTTCTCTTATCCCTTTCTCAACTATTTCAAAAGAAAAATAAAACAAACACAATGATTGAACTTGACCCCCTGGTGTCTAGAGGTTATCGCTGGTGCAACGTTTCTGAAGATGTTGTTTTTCCTAATGGAGCATCCATTTCCAAGCTACTGTATATATACCATTTCCACCTTCTGCACTTTTAATGTTTTTTTATTAGACAAAACCTTTCAAAAAAAAAAAGGTTTTGAAAAGATCACGAAGAGTGCCGTTATTAATGCCTTACAGCTATTATCAGTAATTAAGCCTTTCTATTCCCCCCTTTTTATTTAATTAAGAAAAATGGGAAATATATACACTTATTATACTGTTATATACTTCAAACTAAGTTCAAGCATGTCATGTGAAAACTAACACAGCTGCCCTAACTAACTGGTTACGGCCATAAAAGGTGCTAATAATATTTGTTTTTAAATGAGCTACTTAAAGGCAACCTATAAAGAACATGCTCAAGAAATATTTTTCATAGTTGCAGAAATCAGAACCAAAAAATAGCAAATTTAAATTGCAACTACCAACATTTAATTTAAATAGGAGGAAAATAGTGGAATAGTCTACCTATGGAGGTGGTGGATTCTCTGTTTCTGAAGGTTTTGTTTATTTTTATTTATTGATCAAACTTTTAAAACCAACCAACCATCTATCCCACAGAGAGACTCTTAAGCACAGCCTAGTTGTCTATCTCTCACAGATTGGCTTCATCAGTTTTCCTGAATATTGCAGAGGGGTGGACTAGATGATCCTTATGACCCCTTTCTACAATTCTGAGATTAAAATGGATCCAAATCAAATCACACAGTGGAAGACTCAAGCAGCTCACTATAGTTTATATTTGGATATTTGGAAATATTTTCTTTTTCAGTAAAGATAAGTAGGTAGGTAGATGATAGACTGATAGATAGATAGAAGATAGATAGAATCTGTCTGTCTGTCTATCTCTATCATATCTATATCTATCTATCTGTATCATCTATCTATCTCTATCAAATCTATCATATCTATCATCTATCTATATCATCTATCTATCTATCTCTATCATCTCTATCTATCAAATCTATCATAACTATCATCTATCTATATCTATCTATCTATCTATCTATATCTATCTATCATCTATCTATCTCTATCATCTATCTCTATCATCTCTATCTATATCATCTATCTCTATCTATCAAATCTATCATATATATCATCTATCTATATCATCTATCTATATCATCTCTCTCTATCTCTCTCTCTATCATCTATCTATATCATCTATCTATCTATCTATCTATCTATCTCTCTCTCTCTCTCTCTCTCTCTCTCATCTATCTATATCATCTATCTATCTATCTATCTATCTATCTATCTCTATCATCTATCAAATCTATCATCTATCTATCTATCTATCTATCTATCTCTACCATATCTATATCTATCTATATCATCTATCTCTATCTATCTCTATCTATCTATCTATCATCTATCTTTCTATATCATCTATCTATCTATCTATCTATCTATCTATCTATCTATCTATCTATCTCTCTCATCTATCAAATCTATCATCTCTCTCTCTCTCTCTCTATACCATATCTATATCTATCTATATCATCTATCTCTATCTATCTCTATCTATCTATATCATCTATCTATCTATATCATCTATCTATCTATCTATCAAATCTATCATCTCTCTATCTCTATCTCTATCTCTACCATATCTATATCTATCTATCTATCTATCTATCTATCTATCTATCTATCTATCTATCTATCTATCTATCTATCTATATCATCTATCTATCTATCTATCTATCTATCTATCTATCTATCATCTATCTATCTATCTATCTATCTATCTATCTATCTATCTATCTATCATCTATCTCTATCATCTATCAAATCTATCATCTCTCTCTCTCTCCCTCTCTCCCTCTCTCCCTCTCTCCCTCTCTCTCTCTCTCTCTCTCTCTCTCTCTCTCTCCCAGGGCTGTCAAACTCAAGGCCTGTGGGCCAGATCTGATCCATGGGGTGCTTAGATGTGGCCTACGGGGCAGCCCTGGAAACAGTGATGGGTCGGCCCACGGTGCTGCTATCAGTGAAAACGGAGCTTGGAAGGGCCATGTGTACCCCCAGGCTCCATTTTCGCGGCAGAGGCTTGCAGGAGGCCATCGCGACCAAAAACAGAGCCTGGATGTGTGATGTGGAGCTGGCCATGCTCCCCAGCTCCCTGAGGTCAAACACATCCCTGATGCGGCCCTCAATGAAATCCTGATCTAGACCTTGATCTAGAGAGACAGACAGATTTCAACAGCTCTGAAGAAGGAGCAACTGGATGTTGAAATGTAAGGTATTACAAAGAGGACGAAAGCTAATAAACTACCAGAGCAGTGTCTTTTGGAGCAAGGGATATAGAAATGTCTTCATACATAAATAACCAACCAACCAACCAATGGAATCCCTTCGTGTGGCCTTTACAGATCTTACCTTCTAGTTCTTTGGGATCTGTCTCTGATCCAGTTGCAGTTCCAGTCAACACAACCCCATCAGCAAGAAAGAATTCAGCAGCCTTAGCGGTTTCCGCCACCGTGACGTCAGCTGTCAGCGCATGAGCACTGGGGAGAAAACGGATACAACCTTTGTAAAGTTATCAGTGGCCATTTTACTCATTAGGTCTCTTCTTATACCAATTCCTTATAATTTCCTTGATTTGATAAACCAGGGACAAGTGCAATGGCATTTGCTGATTAGTCGTTGCCAAAACATAAATAGCCAGAAGGTGCTGGCATGGAAACCAGGAGATAGTGAGTTCTAGGCCTCCCTCGGGTATGAAAGCCGCCATTTCCACCCCACTCCTGGGGGAAGGATATTAGTTTAGTTTAGTTTAGTTTATTTGATTTGTATACTGCCCTACTCCCGAAGGACTCAGGGCGGTGAACAGCCAACAATAAAATACATAAATACAAAAAAATTAAAACCAGATAAAATCAAATTAAATCATTTTGGCCCAGACAGATTAAAACACCCCGATAATTTAAAAACAAAATCTCCATTCCCACCCCGCTCTGGGGCCAGCCAGAAGTGGTATTTGCCGATTCCCCAAACTACTCAAAATTTCCGCTACCAATTCTCCAGAACCTGTCAGAACCTGCTGGATTTCACCCCTGGGATAACATAATAAAAATGAACATTTAAAAGACTTCAGAAATTAAAACCACACCAGTCGGAATGCAGTATCAGGCATCTTGTTTTCAGGAGGGATCCCATTTACCTGTGCTTCTTTTTAATATCAGCAAAAACCTGGATGTGTTCAGCTCCGATTTGCTTGCGGTATCTTAGCAGGTTCCCAGCGCAAGCGTTCAGCATCCCTTCGTCAGCCACATGGGAGAAAACGAAGCCTTCAACTCGAACAAAATCCGCACCTAGAAATAGCAATAAACAAATAAATAATCAGTGCTGTTGATAAAGCTAATTAATTTTGCTTGGTCCTCAATTATGCCTAATTAAGTTTCCCAGATGATGCCCAAAATAAAATAGGTTTATCTGTGTTTACCTTGCTAAACACCCCACTGGTCTTTCTAGACCAGTGGGGTGTTTAGCAAGGTAAACACAGATAAACATGTTGCGGGAATAAAATGTCAGTTCAATCTTTCTTCTTCTTCTTCTTCTTCTTCTTCTTCTTCTTCTTCTTCTTCTTCTTCTTCTTCTTCTTCTTCTTCTTCTTCTTCTTCTTCCTCCCTTTTCTACTTCTTCCTCTTCCTTCTTCTTCCTTCTTCTTCCCCCTCTTCTTCTTCTTCCCCCTTCTTTCTTTCTTCTTCTCTTCTTCTTCCCTTTTTTCTTCTTCTTCTTCCTCTTCTTCCTTCTTCTTCTTCTTCTCCTTCTTCTTCTTCCTTCTTCTTCTTCTTCCCCCCTTTTCTACTTCTTCCTCTTCCTTCTTCTTCTTCTTCCTTCTTCTTCCTTCTTCTTCCCCCTCTTCTTCTTCCTTCTTTCTTTCTTCTTCTCTTCTTCTTCCTTTTTTTTTTCTTCTTCTTCCTCTTCTTCCCCTTCTTCTTTTTCCTCTTCTTCTTCCCCTTCTTCCTTTCTTCTTTGTTCTCCTCCTCCTTCCTCCTCTTTTCTTCTTCCTCTCCTCCCATCTCTTACCACGTAAAGTTGTTTTAAGAATGCATGTGGTAACCTCGCAATTCTGCGTATAATTTTAAAAGAACACCCCAAAAGGAAGACCTTTGCAAAACAAACGGGACCAGACTGTGTTTCAAGGACACAAACTCAAGAGTGGTCCCTGAAACAAAAGAGAAATTTTGTAGCACAAGGAGATTTTTTTTCCCAGTAGCGAAGGCTATTCAGGAATATATCTGGCGTCACCCAATTTAACAAGCCAGGTGTCTCCTCTTTCAGCAGCTTTTATGAACAACAGCTTGCTGTTTTACTTTGCTAAAAAGTTGCTCTTTAGCACAACACTTTACACTGTCAGGTTTCAAAGAAAGGGAGGCCTTGGTGTACTGTAGGTCCAGCACTCTCATTTGATTACTGGAAACTCTTAGGATCATCGATGAATTTATTTATTTATGGCGCTTTTAAATCCGTTTTGGCCTAGGGCGACTTCAATCCGAGTCTCTGCTGTTTTCTCGGCAAGGTTTTCAGAAGTGGTTTTGCCCTTGCCTTTTTCCTGGGGCTGAGTGTGTGTGACTGGCCCAAGGCCATCCAGCTGACTTTATCTTTAAGGTGGGACTCAGTGGTGAAATGTGGGTTGGGGGGGGGGTAATGTGACTGAGTGAGCATGGCCAACTTTTTTTTTTTTTTTTACTTTTAAATCCATTTTTTTACAATCTCTTCGGCCGAAAATATGCTTTTAAAAGCCTCTGACGATCCCGGCTGAGTTGCCTGATCGTCAGAGGCTTTTTTTTTCTTTTAAAAACATTTTTTCTACAACCTCTTTGGCCAAAGAGGTTCTGGAAAAAATGCTTTTAAAAACCTCTGATGATCCCAGCAGAGCCACGCGATCATCAGAGACTTTTTTTTTACTTTTAAAAGCATTTTTTCAGCCGAAGAGGTTGTAGAAAAAATGCTTTTAAAAATAAAAAAAAAGCCTCTGATGATCGCGTGGCTCAGCTGGGCATGGGGGAGGGCAGGGATTTTTGCTACTGGTTCTCCAAATGACCCGCTGCCATCGCTACCGGATCGGGTGATCCGGTCCGAACCGGGAGCATTTCACCCCTAAAGCTCAGAGTCTCCCAGTTTGTAGTCTGGTGCCTTCATCATTACAGGTAGACCTTGACTTACGACTGTTCATTTTGCAATGGTTCGAGGTTACAATGGCCTCAGTGACTTCTGGCCTGAAGTTACAGCCACTGCCCCGCCCCGATGGTCATGCGATCGCAATTTGGATGGCAGTGTCTTGTGGGTCATGTGATCCCAACCTGCAACCTTCAAAGCTGACTTCCAACAAGCAAAACTGGTTTAGCCAGATTCGCTTAACAAGCTTGTGCTTTACTGAATGATGCCGATTCCCGTAATCCCCACGGCTGGTCCCTTAATGTCCATAGTAGAAATTATCATAACATCGGATCTGGTCATGTGATGATTCACTTAACGACCACATTGTTTAGCGACCAAAATTCTAATCCCGATTGTGGTCCTAAGTCAGAAGTGGGTTGCAAATGATTTTTAACACCGGTTCGCCGAGCGCACACATACTCACTTCGTGTGTGCGCCTTCCACGCATGTGCCCTAAACTAGATGAAATGAAACTGGTGACTTTAGATGATGATCACAATGCAGGCATAATCTATAAACTAGATTACCAGCTGCAGAGCATTAGAAGATACAAGTATCGGCTTTTGACTTCAATGTAACATGGTGTAATTTTTCAATTACAACATCAGATAGGAAAGAAACGGAGAAGAGGAGGAGGAGGAGGAAGAACGAACGAACGTGTTTCTAAGAAATGGGACCCGAGTGCTTTTGAGCCCTATCAAGAAGATAATCAAAATAATAGCTGCCGAGCAGAAGACGTTTACAGCTGTATCTTTACCGATGCCAGAAATAGTCCGCAAGTCAATAACGCACACCCTTCTACGCAGCCTCAAACAGATGTGGTTAATTAAATCGGGAACTCTGCGCAGGAAATTATGCACTGCTGAAAAACACATGGTACACCTGTTAATAATGAAACAGTTGGGAAGACAGCTTGGCAAACGGTTCCAGACCCAGGAGAAACGCTCAACTGTGTTCCCGCTCAGAAACAAGGGGGGAAAAAAATCAAGAGGAAACACACTTCTGGATAAGCCAGTGAAATACGGAACATTTGATATTAAAGACAAATGACTGTTCTTTATAGGCATCCCTCAAATCAAGAAAGAGAATAGGTTGCAGGGATCTGCGCCCCCCCCCCCAAACTGCTTGCCAGTGCAGTAATTGTATAACAGCTGTCCATCCTTATGAGCTCCTTTATTTCTGTTCCTACTCTTCCCGACTGTAGGATTGATCACTTTATTCAGAAGGGACCTTGGAGGTCTTCTAGTCCAACCCCCATGGAATCCCATGGCACCGGAAGTTTTAGAAATCTTTGTATGTTTCAAAGCTACAGGTATTCGTTGATTTACAACCACAATTGAACCCAAAATTTCTGTTGCTAAGTGAGATATTTGTTCAGTGAATTTTACCCCATTTTACAACCTTTCTTTCCACCGTTGTTAAGTGAATCACTGCAGTTCTTAAATTAGTAACACGGTTGTTAAGTGAATCTGGCTTCCCCATTGACTTTGCTTGTCAGAAGGTCACAAAAGGGGATCACATGATCCCGGGACATTGTAACTGTCATAAATATGAGTCAGTTGCCAAGTGATTCACATGACGATGGGGATGTTGATCACATGACCATGGGGATGTTGCAATGGTCGTAAGTGTGAAAAACGGTCAAAACTCGCTTTTTTCAGTGCCATTGTAACTTTGAATGGTTACTAAGTGAATTGTTGTATGTTGAGGAGTAAGGTACCTGTACTAGAAAGTACACAAATAGGGAGAAAAATATTCAGAAGTCACCTTAATTCAGAGTAAATGAATATGAAAAGCCATTCCTAGGTTGTTTTTTTTAAAAAAGAGCATTTGCATTTAAAGTCTTTAAAAAAATTCTAAGAAGAATATGAGAGAAAACAAAACAGCCGAGTTATAAAGTGCATTTTAATATGAAGACGTATCTGCTGCCTAATCAATTCTGCTTATTGACTGAAGTGCCTAATTGTTTAAGTAAAGCGACGCAATCATCTGCAACGCTAAAGGGGGGGAAAAAATGGCATTAGCGTTTCTGAAAACAAAATGCAATAGAAAAAGTAGTGCCGAAGCTAAAGAACAGATGTTAGGTATAATGGACAATTCATCCGTCACAGTCAACATCAAGATACATTTAAAAAAAATGTATAAAAGTAATATAGCTCCTCAATATTAATCATTTTTTATACATACGCCGTATACCGTACAAATGAAACGCTTAAATTTTAATTCACTGTGCCAGCCAAGGCTCTGTGGGTAGAATTTTTTGATTATTAATGCTCCAGCCATAAAGAAAGTCGGCTTCGTTAAAACACGCAGTCATCCTTTCTGTCTGAAATGCACCAAAAGCAAATTAAAATCTAATTATTGCTTCGACAAAGGATGTCTTACTGGCATGGTGCCTTCAAAGGCAGAGTTTTCCGAAGCGCTAAACACAACGTATTTCCATCGGCCCTACAATAACCTTGTGAAAAAGGTTGGTGATTTATTGTTCCCCTTTGACAAAGGCTAAAAAGTCTATCTGTACCAAAGTCCACCTCACTGGACAGGTTATATCAGGTTATAATGAAATGCGGTCATATGATCCTATGTGCATGTGTGGGTACAGATGTCTGAACTCCAGAACTGGGTCATCAGTGGTTTTCAGAGGAATCTTTATAACTTGGAATAACAATAAGCACTTAGACTTATATACTGCTTCATGGTACTTACAGCCCTCTCTAAGTGGTTTACAGAGTCAGCACATTGCCCCCAACAATTTGGGTCCTCAATTTTACCGACCTTGGAAGGATTGAAGGCTGAGTCAACCTGGAGCCGGTCTGGATCGATCTCCTGGCTGTGGGCAGAGTCAATCTGCAATACTGCATTCTAACCACTGTGCCACAATGGAAGGAAGGAAAAGGAAGGAAGGAAGGAAGGAAGGAAGGAAGGAAGGAAGGAAGGAGGGGAGGGAGGGAGGGAGGGCAATAGCCTTAGATTTATATACCGCTTCACTGTGCTTTATTGCCCTAAGCGGTTTATAGAGTCAGCCTATTGCCCCCAACTATCTGGCTCATTTTACCGACCTCGGAAGGACGGAAGGCTGAGTCAACCTGGAGCCGGTCTGGATCGATCTGCTGGCTGTGGGCAGAATGAGTCTGCAATACTGCATTCT